TATATATACCATATTTTCTTTATCCATTCATCTGTTGAAAGGCACCTAGATTGATTCCATAGCTTAACTATTGTGAATTGATCTGCTTTGAACATTGATGTGACTGAGTCACTGTAGTAGGCTGATTTTAAATCCTTTAGGTATAAAAGGTTCTTAACAAGGAAAACATACACAAAAGCAAATGAAGGTGATATTTTTAATAACATTTTTAACAGTGATTTTGAACATTTCTTTTAACTATAAATAATAACTCCTGTGAAATGATAGTTTAGTACTGTTTCTGCCATGGGATAGATCAGACTTTAAATCTCAGCATTGCCCTTTAGTAAACATTGTCTCCTTGGCCAGTCACTTGATCTTATTTAAATTATATCTGTAAATAGAAGGAGACAATAATATGGGAACTGTGTTATAACAACATTGTGAAAATTGAAAGAAGGTAGTAAGCACTTATTAATGTCAACTGTATTATCAGGCAAAAAGATGAAAACAATCCTGAAGAATCTGAAGATTTAAATGATCAATGAGAACTGGTCATATGATAATTATTTTAATATGTAGTACATATGTAGACCTGGACTGCTTGTTAAAAATATGGACACCCTGAACTCACCCCGAGAGATTCTAATCCAATATCTAGGAAGACTGTCCGAGAATCTGCATTGTCAATGAACTGTCTAGTGGATTCTAGACTATTGTGTATCATCCTTAAGATGACCCTAAGGTTTATTTTATTTTATTTTTTTATTTTGTGGTGCTGGGGATTGAACCCAGGGCCTTGTGCATGTGAGGCAAGCACTCTGCCAACTGAGCTATATTCCCAGCCCCAGCTCTAATAATAACTCACACCTACTTTAATGAAAACATTTAGTTTAGGTTCCCCAAGTGTCATGTAGCTAACATGAGATGAGAAGTTCATATGAGAGAAATCAAATTAAACTCTGGACAAATGTTTTCACCATACAATAAAGTATTTTATTAAGAAGGGCAATGTTCTGATATCTAATGACTAATTATTTTCCTTCTTTCAATTTAGCATTTCTGAACAAGGACGAACTATCATCTTCTCCTTTCGTCAGCCTCAGCATTCCATCTTCAAGCTTTTTGACAGCCTCACCATATTGGCCTCAGGAAAGCTAATGTACCACGGTCCTGCCCAGAAGGCTTTGGAGTATTTTAAATCAGCAGGTGTGGTTTTCAGGCACTAGATCCTTCCATCATAGACTCCTGGGGGAGGACAGTGAGGTGGACAGGAGTGCTGCTTGGTCATTGCATAGACTAACGGGTGCCATCACTCCAAAACATTTTTGGTCAGTTGGTGTCAGGAGTTGTCTTCATTTTTCAGTGTTTGCTTATTGTTTAGGTCTCTTTCTTTCTTCTCCCCTCTTTGAGTATGAATGCATGTGTGTATTTGTGGGTGTGTGTTTCTTATGGGCCTACTTCCTAGTTTTGGTGACCATTCCCTGAGAGTTCAATAATTAACTGGTTGGACTCACAGCCAGGCTTTTCAGCTGAACATTTTTGGAAAGTCCCAGTATCATTCATTTTCTTCTAGACCATGCAACAGATAGTGATGTTGTTCTACTTTTATGAGGGCTCATGGAGATGCTCATTGTTTCCTAGTAATTTTAAATTGACTTGAGTGGGTGTAAGTTATTATTAGCCACTGGAATGGCTGGTCCTAAGTTTGACTTGGGTAGGCAAATATTTCTGGGCTCCCAGGTTTTCTTTCAGATTGAATTGTGTGATCTTTTTAATGGCTCATGCAATGTGCTTCATTTTAGAAACATTTAGAAATTAATATAGACATTTCTTCATGACCCCAAATATAGTTTTAAACATTCACTAGCTATATTAATATTTTAGTTTATTCTCAGCCACTTAAAATTAAGTATGTATGGGTTTGGAGAGTTCAGAGGAAATACTTAAGAGTCTGGTCTCAGGCCAAGTTTAGATAATTGTGCCAGAAAAAGTTGAGGTGAGAGTTTGGTGTGCTGTGCTGCTCATGTTCTCTCAAGAATTCAGTTCTGGGAATTTATTGTCTATTTTGAATTATGGCCGCATGATATGATAATGATAATTTGGATCTCTGAATTTAATAGGTGGAGAAGCAATCTTGTTGACATGCATAGTGCCATCCCAGCATTTGCTTCATGAACTCAGAAAACACAATGAACCTGGCCTTTTTTTTCCTTGTATCTAGATTTAAGAAGTACTGATAAGCATCAGTTGATCCCCATAAAAAAGACAAGGATATTATGTTCTAAACAGTCCAGGACTGGTTACACACACACACACACACACACACACACACACACACGTATATATGTGTATTGTATATGTATTATATATATATGTATTATATGTGTGTGTTTATGTACACACACACAGGATTAGGAGACAAAGCATGTTGAAATATTATATGAATGAACAAGAGGAAAGTATAAAATATAAAGTGAGGTGAGAAGAAAGCAAGAACATGGCAGAGAAAATGTTAGATTTGTCTTCCCTGGCCTCACTTCCTTCACTCTCTGGAAGTGAGTAGTTTTTACTTTTCAAGCCCATCAGGTTGAGTTCTTTGGTTGCTTTGTTTTATAGGTTACCATTGTGAGCACCTCAATAACCCTTCAGACTTCTTCCTTGATGTCATCAATGGAGACTCCCCTGCTGAGGTGACAGCAATGCAAGAGGAAGGGGGTGAAGGTATTGTGAATAGCTTAGATTCACAGGTCTTTGCCTGGTTGAATTGGCTGAAGTTTAGCAATGTGGTGGCTCCTTAAAACCTGGCTTTCTGAATTCCTACTCATGTGATGTTGTGATTCCAGTTAACAGATAGACTTTCTTCTCCATAAGAGCTATGGATGTTCTTTATTGAATTTATGAATGACCGCTTCTGTGCTACTCTCATTATAAAAGGAGTTTTCATTAAAAAAGAAAATATGATAATTTTTACATATTTTTAGAAAAAGAAATTGAAACTCATACTTTTGCACATAGTAGAAAATAAGGACCAACTTTTTAAAAATTAAGACTTATAATTCTGTATGGTAAGGAGTCTATTTTAAGGATTAGGGTCCACATACTTAGGAAAAGGTCTGTGAGTTTGCTCTAGCCATAAGATCCAGGCAGAAGTCATGTTAATTCCATGTGTTTTTCTGATGTATAGAGCCATGACAATGCTAGTGATTTTTCTATGCTTAGCTTTAAAATTTAGGTATTATCCATGAAAAGGATCATAGCAAAATGGCTTTAATTGTTTGTCACCTATTAATAATATTTCTCTTTTTTGTGTGTGCTTTTATTCCAAAGCCAATGAGACTGAACAGCTATTAATAAGAAGACTGCCAGTGATCGAAGGATTAGCTCAGTTTTATAGAAAATCCCCCTTCTATAGAGAAACAGAAACTGAATTAGAGAGACTTTCAGGTGGCCAGCATAGCAGGAGCCCGGCCTTCAAGGAGACCACCTATGTCACCACCTTCTGCCATCAGTTCAGATGGATTTTCTGGCGTTCATTCAGAAACTTGATGGGTCGTCTCAAGCCCTGGGGAGTTGAGGTAATCTTAGAGATTTTTTTAAGTTTGCTGTGAAATATTCATGTGGATGCAATTTGGTTCTGATATAGTCTGCTTCAAGATAATGTGTATCTTCTACCCACCCTTCCATTTATTTGTCATCCTTACTCCATTTAGGATATAGAAGCAGTCCATAAAACACAATTAAGTTTTCACATCTAGAAAGGTGGTTTTTTTTTTCAGTGATTTCTTGGAATACATAACTCAGAATTTTGAACCAGACAAATTGTAAGGGAACATCTCAGTAAGAAATTTATTTATTTTTTCAATAAATGGAAGCTAAAGGCAACAGAATCCATTTTGGGGTTTTCTAGTCTCTATCTACTTTCATTCATTGATTCATTCCACAGCTTGAATGCAAGATCTTGAGTTGTATTTTGGGGAATCTAATATGGTAGTGGACAAAGTGAGTTAAAATGACAACCTCTGCTCTCATGGATTTTATTTTCATATGAAGGCAGAGTGATGATGAGTGAAGTAATACAACACACAGCATGTTAGATTGCAGGAGGGACTATGCAACAAGTTCAGGCAAAATAGGGATAGAGAAGGGGAAGAGAGAGGGCAAGAGATAGGGAAAAGAGCGTTGGTTTGCATTTGAAATTAGGTGGTGAGGGAGAGCTAGTGGCTTTGAATACATCTACAAGTACCTTGGATTGTTCACTCTCTGAGGGAAGAGCCTTATGCTAACTGTTTTCCTTGTAATTTCCTCCTCATTGAGAGATTCTAATGTTTGGAAAGCACTAAACATCTTGAAAAGTTTTCAGTTTAAGCACAGGTAGTAACCACACTTAACAAGGATATTCACTGTCACATCAACTCTCTTATCTAAGATATGATGACGTTCTTTTCTCCTTTTGATTGGCCTTTGGTCATTGTTGATTATTACTCCTTAAGGTTATTTTTCTTGTTTGCTATTCCCAACTCCTGTGTCACAATAAGAAGTTCATCAGTCCATCATTTATAAGGAAATCAATTTAGCTAGTTGCTTGGGGGTTGTTATTTTTTATTATCAGTCATTGAGTTTGAGTACTGAAAGATGGCCTGTTGTAGGTTCTACTGAACTGACGTTTTAACATAAGAACCACAGTTTTCATCTTTCAGTATTGTCACCTTTCAGGTGTATCTGAGACCTGTTCTTGTTTCAGTTCATGCTGTCAGTTGTGCCACATGTTTTTGAACTTTTCATTTATCATTCTGTCAGAACATGGCCACTTTTGTGGCTATTAATCAAAGGTAACATTTTATTCTCTGAGAATAGATTTGAATGTTTTAGAATCATGCCAGGTCAGTTAGATCCATTAACTTGGATCACCCATTGTTCAACAGTGGGGTGGTATAAGGAGTTGATTCTTTAGTGTGTTTTCTGTGTTAGGTTTTTCGTACTGCCTCTAAAAATGATGGAGTTGCCAATGTGCAGGACATTGTGTCTCATCCAGGACCCAAGTATGAGTTATGGGCAGGGCATGAATAGACCATGGCTACTTGGTATACACCAGGATTGTGCCTATTTGGGATCTTGGCTTCATTAAGGCACAAACACCAGGCCCAGAGTCTCTAGGTCACCTGTTCAGCCTTATCAGCAAACTCAATCCCACAAAAGGAATTCCCACAATGTTCAGAGAAGTAGCCATCTCTAGAAGAAGGGTAGAATCTTGAAGATCCTGGAGTTTAGCAGAACAACTCGTGTTAAAGTTTGTGAACACTGAAATGTTAGTGTAGGAGTAGGCAAACCCTTTTCAGTAAAGAGCCAGATGGTAAATGTTTGGGCTTTTTTGGCCCCATCTGGTCTGTCTCATGTGGTCAGCCCTGCCAATTTTAACATGAAAGTGGCTGTAGCTCATACATAAGCAAATGAACATGGCTGGGTTCTCAAGAAACTGTGTTCATGACTATGAAGTTTGAATTTCGTATAAATTACATAGTGCAAGATATATTACCTTTCCTCCTCCCACTACTAAAAAAAAGGGGTAAAAACCATTCTTAGCTCATCAACTTTAAAAAAAAAATAGGTGTTGGGCCCCATTTGGCTTGGGCCATAGTTTACTTGTCATAGGGTTTGAAATCTTGTATGATTTTTATTTCTCTGAGTTTTGATCATAGAATTATTAAAATATTTATGACTTCCTACTGATAAATCTTGTATCTCTTGATGTATAGCTGTACTTTGGTTTGAACTAGGTATATATATGACTTATACTTTATCTCTAACCAGAGGCTGTATTTGGAAGATTGGAAAGAATGATGATCTTTATAAGATTTATTGTTCAATTATAATGTCAAACATTTCCTGATCAAACCAATTTGGAAGACTTGTCATTAATCTCTTAGAAAGTCATTGTTTTCTATGAGCATGTTAAACATTTGACTGTGGATTCATTTTGCTAGTAATTGCACAAACTTCTCTCAGAACATATCTTGAGAAATACTCATTAAACACATTTGAACAAAAGCAGAATAAAATATTGGGACGATTTCTTTATCGAATCCTTCTGTTCAAAACTGAGACTAACGGCCACATGCACAAAGCTCAGTCATTTGCTCCATTGTGCAATTTCATTTTGCCTAAGGCTTTTTCTTTCTTCATGTAAGAAAGAATAGCACAGGTACACTTTGAAAACCATGACATGATCATAGGATTCACTGATTTGCCAGTATGGTAGAAAACCAACTGAAAATAAAGAACAGGTGATGTGTTAGTATAAGATATCAGGTGTGGATGCAAAAGAAACAAAGAATGCAGAACCTCTGGATAGCAAGACTGAATATAAGTTATCCTGAGTGAAGTATAGACTGCTGTGTACCTGTGTGTCCTGCACATTGGCAAATCCATCAGCATATATTTTGGGAGCTCTTTCTACTGACGTGAAGTGAGTGTATTCTGAGGGTAATGAAGACCTGTCAGCAGAATGAATTTTCCCCTAAATTTCTGTCTTATATTGAAGGAGATCTTACGAGTAAAACATTTAAATAGTGACATTTCCAAACTGTGGTCATCACAAACCAGGTTTTTTCAGGTTATGATTTAGTTTTTCTATTCTGGCTTGCTGCCTGCCTAAAATGTTCTTCACAAATCATTTCATGTGTGGATACAATTGTAATATTGAGTCTTTTTTTTTAACTTTGAAGTTTTCAAGATATATGGTAGGGTATTTTGTTGTCTCTAGACTTCCAATTTCCTATATTTTTATATTTAACTTGTGAAGCATTAGATGTGGAATTCCTCAAATAAAACATGATAATGTGACCCTTAACCTTTTGTTGATTGAAGTATCCCTGAGAGAATTTTTATCCTTAAAACAAAAGTGGTGCTGGCCCAGTAACCTTGGGAGTTGTGCACAGACTGAGTAGGTGAGGATGGTGAGGAGCTGTTAGCTCAGGTGGATGTGTTGACTGTAAGCTTCACTGGCTGAGGCTGAAGAGAAGCAGACAGAGGAGATGGTAATGAAGCACTTGGGTGTCCCCAGGGAAAACTGGCTGAGTGCTTTGGTGACCATGACAATACAATTTCCCATGGAGGACAGGGGTTGAATAGGTGGGAGCCAACTTACAACTAGTCTTTATCATGAAAAATACCATTGTCAAAATTTGTGTGTGTATGCTTTTAAAATGTTGTTTATTCATTTTGTGGTGCTGGGGTTAAACCCAGTGTCTCACACATGCTAGGCTAGCATTCTCCTGCTAGCCCTGAAATTTCATATAAATGTAATTTATTTATTTATTTATTTTTGTGGTGCTAGGGATTGAACCCTACCAACTGAGCTACATCCCCAGCCCTCATTTATTTTTAATGAGTGTAAAGTCATCTTGTTTTCAGTTGAACCTCTTGAAGGATGAAACTATCTACGCATGTGCACTGGCACAAAAGTTGAGTTCCATTTAAGACTGAACTCTTACCCACTTGGATGTTAGTTTGTTCCCCAAGTGATTTTCTGCACCAGTCTGCCATACTGTGTAGCATTTGCATGTCCAGTACTAGAGCTGGGGCTTGGACTGGCCATTCCTGGTGAACACTGGAGGGATTTCCGCCTGTCCAGTAGTCTGCTCTATTTTCCTGTCAGTTCCCCAAACGTTTTTAATTTGGTTTGGAAAGTAGTCTAATAAACACACATAATTTTATCTTCTCCCAAGGTTTGACCAAGTCATATAAAGTGTTTATCTTCAGAGAGGGTTCTGATTATGTAGCCATTTATTGAATCATAATAAATGATGTGGAAAGCCGGGTATAGTAGCACAAGCCTATAATCCCAGCAGCTCTGGAGGCTGAGGCAGGAGAATCATGAGTTCAAAGCCAGCCTCAGCAACAGTGGGGCTCTAAGCAATCCAGTGAGATCCTGTCTCTAAATAAAATACAAAATAGGCTGGAGTGTGGCTCAGTGGTTGAGTGCCTCTGAGTTCAATCCCTGGTACCAAAACAAATAGACAAATAAATGATGTGGAAAAATTTTTTACCTGTAATTACAACTCTATTTTCATTTTTCTTTTGGAAAAGATATTCATCATATTTATGCTGGGACTGTTCATAGGTATCACTTTCCTTGAACTAAAAAATGATTGTACTGCAATCCAGAATAAGTAAGTAAGTTTAAATACTGTTACATTGTTCAAGATTATAAAGAGCCATTATGAATTTGAATTTATACTAAGAATGGGATAAATGTCATTGTTTTATTGGGGGTGGAATGAGCACATTGCAAACTGAGTGGAAGAGTTAATTTCCTTTTTTTCAAAATATGTATGTAATGGCAAGTAATATACAACATAAATGTTGACCTTTTATCCATTTTTAAGTGTATAGTTCAGTGGTATTAGTTGCATTCACATTGTGCAGCTATAACCACCATCCAGCTCAAGAACATTTTTTTCATCTTCTCAAATGGAATCTTCATACCTATTAAAGAATAACCCTCCATATCCATAAATCCCAACCCCTGACCACCACCTTATAATTCTGTCTCTGAATCTGGCCACTCTAGGATCCTCATATACATGGACTGATACAGTATTAGTCCTTTGATACCTTATTTTCTTTAGCATTATGTCCTTAATAATCATTTAAGTTATAACACATGTTGGAATCTTTTTTTCCATTTTAAGACTGAATAATAGTCCATTGAATATATACTACCTTTTTTTTTATTATTCCTCTGTTTCTGAGAATGTGGGTTGTTTCCACCTTTGGGTTGTTAATAATGCTGTTATGGGTGTACAAATATTTGTCTGAATTCCTGATTTAGCACTGTGATGTAGGCACCTAGCCTTGTTGGATCAAATGATAATTTTAATTTTTTCAGGAATTGCTATGCTGTCTTCCACTGCAGCTGCACCATTTTACATTTTTACCTGCAGCACATAAGAGTTCCAATTTCTCCACCTCCCCACCAGAATATGTTATTTATTTTTTTCTTTCTTTAAAAAAAATAGATGTCCCCTGGATCTTTGGAGAAATATTTATTTGATTTCTTTGCTAATTTTCAAATTGGATTATTTGGGAAATTTATTGTTGCTATAGTTGTGTTGTAGTTTTTTATATTCCTGTATTATGAATCCTTTATCAGATACATAATTTGAAAATATTTTCTTCCATTCTGTAGGCTCCCTTTTCACTCCATTGATAGTGACTTTGATGCATAAATGGTTTTAATTTTGATGTAGTCCAGTTAGCCTGTTCTTTCTTTTGTTTGTGGGCCAGTATCCTTGATATGTTTTGATTAGTTTGACTTGAGAATTGTGCTCATTTCTGCCCAGCTGTGCTAGGGAAGAGGGATAGAATGTTTAGAGAGCAGGGAAGATACCCACAGATGTGACAGAAGTTATACAGTTTCTTCAGAAATACTTGTGGGGGAGGTCCAGTTGCAATGGGCTGGTGTACCTCTGCTGCACTCAGTGCTGCTGGGACTTCACCAGAAAGTAATGCCTCTTATTTGTCTCCACACTGTTCAGTGGTGGCTGCCTGATGAGCACCTCACTCCCCCCTGTGCTCTGGTCTGCAACAGTTACTGCAGGGAGGCAAGTTGGATAGGTGAGGTTATAGAAGCAATGACAGTACCAGCATTAACTTACTTTTCTCCTTGTGTTAATATTGTTACTTGGGGATGTCTTGTGTACTCAGCTCCTGTGTTCTCACCAGAGAAGATTTTAAGCAAGATACAAAACATAGTAAAAGTTTAACGTATTTTACTAAGAAAGCACCCCCAAGTAACATGATAAGTTTTCTCAAAGATGATGAGTTTTCTTGACCACTTGATCTTATTGCTTTATTTACTGAGCTCAATTTTTAAGGGGAGAGTGGGAAAGTTGTTAAAAAAGTCCCACCCACGTATCACTCCTCAGCTGTGATTTACAAACTACATTAGATTTCTAAACCTCTACAGGGTATGCTTTTATCTATGGGCATTTAAGTGAAACCTGAGGGAAGGGGAAGCTATAATCACAATGATATTATAATGATATGCTAACAACAGAAGTACAACTCTGTCATACTGGCCTGGCTGACAGGTTTTAATTGGAACTTGTTTTACAGAATTTTTGGTTGGTGGAATCTTGTCTTAATCATTCTGCTTTTCTATAACTTGGAATCTTGGAATCTCTGGTCTGTGTAAAGGTGTAAAGGTATCATTTCCACCCAACCAGACCTGGATCAGGATAATTTGTGTGTGTCTCTTTTCTTTAATATATATATATATATATA